ATATATACATACATATATTTATAGATATAAATATAGATATAGATATTATATATACATGTATACAATGATATATAAAGTTTTCATTATCAAAATCCTCCAGACCACAGACAGTTGGAGAAGCCCTCCTACAACTGCTCCGTAGTGACGTCATCAACGGCGCCATCTTGCAAGTGGACAATCAGGGGAAGACTTTCCGCCACATGGAGTGTGTCAACGACGGTGTCACCTTTGACCCCAGCAAGGTCTTCAGCACCTCATTTTATGCCTTCGATCAGCAATGATTTGACCTAGTTCTTATTATGATGTTACATGTTGTTATTGTTGTTCTCGTTGTTGTTGTTGTTGTTATTGTTGTTCTCGTTGTTGTTATAGTAAGCGCTTTACTGTTTTTGCAACACAATAAACTGGAAATCTTACTTAAGGGGTGGGTCAATTTATGGTATCTGGATGGTTAAAGTATTTTAATACTTCAAATACTTGTAAATCTTTTTTAAAAAATGCTTACTCTTTCTGTTGCAATCAACATCTCTCAGAATTCTCTTTCCTTGAACTTTTATTTTGCCCATTATGTAACAAAATGCTGTTTTTTTTCTGAAAACTTCAATTTTTTATAGTTTTTCTCATCTGATTTTTATTTTCTGTTTAATTTTAATGAAATTTTCTGGTTTGTTATTCACACCATAACCTAAAATAATGCAGGTCGAAAAGCGAATCGATGTATTCATGAGTGAGTTACATGGACGATTATGTAATCGAATTCAGAGGCATGAAGAGGAAGGTCAATTATCTGTCTTTTTTTCCTGTTCAAGATATCCAACATCTCAACTGTATAAAATTTTGTGTTGAGTATATCTACAAATGTCCCAAATTTAAACAAATTTGATTAGTAAATAAAACAATCTTTTTTTTACTTTTATGAAAGTTGTTTATTTTCACTATGGCCGCCGTTACCATGGTAACCGTAGACTTAAAAAGAAAATTAAAGTTACATTTTAGAGATGTTTTCCTGTTATAGCTCCTTGTTGTAAGGCTTTGTTTGAAAAGTCATAGTTACCGAGATGGGCTTATAAAACAGCCCCCCCCCCTCCTTAAGGTTGCGAGCAAAACTGTATGAGCACTAAATGAGCAGGGACGGGTAATCCTTTTTTTAAAGTTAAAATAATAGTATCAATGAATGTAAGCGGAAGACAAAACGCTTCCTCAGAGTTACAAAGTTCTATCTGTGGGTGGTTGGCGGGTGCTCTGGTGTGGTTGGCTTCTTCTTTCCTATCAAATATATATCGTCCTTATCTCCCCTTCTTCTTTTTTTATGTTCGTTACTCTCTTGTAACACCTCTAATCTTCTGGCGCTCAATGTGACCTTATGCAGTTGCAAGTGCCGTAAAACCTCTACTAAAACTGGAAACTAAAAGTTCTCTCTGACATTTTTGGTTTTGAGTTACTACTTATAAGACCTTGAGCCTTGAGGTCAGAAACCTAATGTCCTATCTGCTCTATTACAGTCAGAATGATAATCTAAGTCGCTATGAAGCTATTCAAAGAGTGGCATTTAAAAAAGCTTGTCGCACTGTGAAACGAACCAAACAAATGTCACATTTCTCAAAACTAGGTATTGAGCAGACAGAACCTTGAAATTCTGAGGTAGCAAAAAGTGAAAATAACAAGAAAACAAAAAATACCATGATACCAGTTGTTGCTGCTGTGCCAGTTTGTCAGAGCTGGATGTTTGGCATTACGGTCAAACCTCGTTATACCGCCCG